GTATCTCAGTCACAAAAGGACAAATACTGCATGGTGCCACTGTTGTAAAACAGGACTGACATCGGGTTTGGGGGGAGACTGAGAAAGATGGGTTCTATGATGTATACTGCACTGAAACAGATGAGGGAGAAAACTGTTTAAAAGGGATATGTGATTTGGTATTTCTGTCATGACAGGAGTCTAGGGCGAAGGCTACATGGTGGAGTGCACCTGGGGGGAGGGTTTGTAAAACAGTGAAAGAATGGGGGGAGGGTTGGGAGGGGGAGAAAAGTGCAACAATGGATGAATGGAAATCCAAAGTCTGTAAATTTTTCAATTTAAAAGTAAAGGTGGGGAGAATAAAGATTACAGTCAAGAGAGAAAAAAAGGACTTCAGGGAATCCTACATCTTGTTTGGGATGTACAGAGCAGAAGCCATTTTCAGAAATTTCTAGGCACAGTATGTCAAGTTCTTACTGTAAGGTTGGGTTGGAACCTACTCGAAATGTTTTTCTTTGTGTCAAGCCTTGCTTCCCCCAACCCCCATCTATTTCAAGAACTCGTGCCTATGCAGCTGCTAAATACACAATAATGATTTTACTAGCTGAGCTAATGGCTTTCTGGCACATTGTAAACCTAATCTTTGTTGAATGCACCAAAATTTCATTACTCATAGAAATAACAAATGTGTTCCAGAGATTACTAACAGGTGCAAACAAAGGGGAAAAAATTACTGCAGAAAAGAAAGTCTCTAAATCTACACAGCCTAGGCTTAGCATTTCTGGTTTGATTAGTGCTGAGCTCAGTCCCTGGGTTTTATTTGGAAGCCCTCTTCACCATCCTCTGCTTCCTCCTTGTTTAGGTTATCCTTGTGCTGATTTTGACTTGCGTTCCATGATGAGCTCTCGGGACCAGATGTAAGCAGAAGTTGACCTCATGAGCACATCCGCCTCTCCAGCTGCCATGCTCCTCCGGAGGCTCCGGCGACTCTCGTGGGGCAGCACTGCCGTCCAGCTCTTCGTCCTCACCGTGGTGACGTTTGGCCTGCTGGCGCCGCTGGCCTGCCACCGACTCCTGCATTCTTACTTCTACCTGCGCCATTGGCATCTGAACCAAATGAGCCAGGAGTTCCTGCAGCAAAGCTTGAAAGAGGGAGAGGCTGCCCTCCACTACTTTGAGGAGCTGCCCTCTGCCAATGGCTCTGTGCCGATTGTGTGGCAAGCCACCCCCCGCCCCTGGCTGGTGATTACCATCATCACCGTGGACAGGCAGCCTGGCTTCCACTATGTCTTACAGGTTGTGTCCCAGTTCCACCGGCTTCTTCAACAGTGTGGCCCCCAGTGTGAAGGACACCAGCTCTTCCTGTGCAATGTGGAGCGTAGTGTAAGCCACATTGATGCCAAGCTGCTGTCCAAGTACGTCCCGGTGGCCAACCGCTACGAGGGCACTGAGGATGATTATGGCGATGACCCTTCCACCAACTCCTTTGAGAAAGAGAAGCAGGACTATGCCTATTGCCTGGAGTCTTCCCTGCAGACCTACAACCCAGACTACGTCCTGATGGTGGAAGACGATGCTGTTCCAGAAGAGCAAATCTTCCCCGTCCTGGAGCACCTTCTGCGGGCCCGCTTTTCGGAGCCACACCTCAGAGATGCCCTTTACCTAAAACTCTATCATCCTGAGAGGCTCCAGCACTACATCAACCCAGAGCCCATGCGGATCCTTGAGTGGTTTGGCGTGGGCATGGTGCTGGGGCCCTTGCTAACCTGGGTGTACATGAGGTTTGCCAGCCGTCCTGGCTTTAGCTGGCCCGTGATGCTCTTCTTCTCCCTGTACAGCATGGGTCTGGTCGAACTCATTGGGCGGCACTATTTCCTGGAACTAAGGCGGCTGAGTCCTTCCCTGTACACTGTGGTTCCTGCATCACAGTGCTGCACACCGGCCATGCTCTTCCCGGCCCCTGCTGCCCGTCGGACCCTCACCTACCTGTCCCAGGTATACTGCCACCAGGGCTTTGGCAAAGACATGGCACTGTACTCGCTGTTGCGGGCAAAGGGGGAGCGGGCCTATGTTGTGGAGCCCAACCTTGTAAAGCACATCGGGCTGTTCTCCAGCCTCCGATACAACTTTCATCCCCGGCTGCTCTAGTGGGCTGAAAAATGCCTTCCTAAAATGGACCACTTCCTGGAGATTCAAATACTGAGTTCTTGATTTTTGTCCTGGTTGTTTATGGGTATGTAATTGTTCAGTGTTGCAAGAGCCATGGGGACTGGGACAGCCGAACAGCATTTTAAGCCAAGGATCTCCATTTACTACAAGTTCAGACCTTTCTCCGTCCACACAGCCACACTGCCTCACGCAGTCTGACACACCCAAAGGGTGCGTCGAAATACCAGTTACAGTCTTCAACTTCCAGGCCTGCTTTGTGAAAGAATGTACAACTGCCAAAAGTCTTGTGCACAATAATAAGACTGTTTTAGGATCTTAGGGTTTGAGTTTTGAAAGGCAAAATAATTTTGAATTGATTTCTTTCTCATTGTGTAGGAGAATGGATATTTATGTTGAATATATGTCTCAAAATGCAGGCCCATGGTGATTGAGTCCATTTATTTCTTTCACCTGGTGTAATTAAAAAGCAGAGTGGAAAAAAATGGAAAAAAAAAACCCCAAACCAAAAAAGAAGTCAGAAAGCAGAGTAAACGCTGTGAGCAGAACTGCATGGTGTCCAGCACCCTGGGGGCAGAGATGCTGCCTCTTACCTGGTATTTTCTTTGCTCTCACATTTCTAGTGCACAGATAACTAATAGTGTCAGTGAGATCTCGGAGGCACTGAAGATCTGGAAGTGCCTTCCAAATCTTCAAAGTCAGGTTGTTCTGTGATGGCTTATTGTGGAATGATTCTGTCATATTTCAATTTTCTGAAAATGGGACATTTCTTGATGAGATGGGCTGAGTGAGCTCTTTCCTTGCAGCCTTTCCTTTCTCATAGTTTTACTGGCTGCCAGTTTCCCTTCTTTTTATTCAAGGGAGTGTGGGCCTATAGGAGGAAAAGCATGGGCTGTGAAGTCAGAAGATTTGAAGTTTTCTTTCAGATCTGCCAAGTTCCGTGGGTGTCTTAGTTTCTTTACTTGTAAAGTGAATCAGCAAAGGCTGCCTTTTTGAGTTGCCTTGAGAATTAAGTGACAGAATGTATATAGAACACCCAGCCAATGGTTGGCCTGTAGAGGACACTTGCCAAGTGTAGTTCTTTTCTCTCTTGTTAAAAAAATATTAAACTTAAGTGTATTTGGGATAAAGATGTCCATAATGTTTAAAGTATGGAGTCAGGCACAGGACTGACACCTGTGTTGCTTGACTCTTCTGTGTGAAACCTCATTGCTATGTAGTCAGAACCGATCTAAGCTGATCCTGCGGTGGGTTTCTGAGGTTGTAAGTGCCACGTGAAGAGATTGCCCATCTCTCTCCAATGGAGCAGCTGATGAATTCCCACCTCTCAAAGGACTAAGTTCTTGGTTTACAGCATGACTGTCTGCCAACAGTTCTTTGGTTTAGATCAGCCAGTGGCTCTGAAGGGATAAGATTGGTAAAGTCCTCAGTGCAGCTTGCTCAGTCTAAACTTTCTAAAGTTCCTCAGTCCCCTGAGAAACCACTGAAGGGTCAGCTGTGATTCAGGCGCTGAGTTGGAGTTCTTCCTTGAAACTCCTTAAGGATAGGCAGCTCAACTCTCAACTGACTCCACCTTAAAGCCAAGTTCCAAGTAAGAGTTCATGACTCAAACCAAAAAGGATCTGAGACTCGCACCTGAAGTTTCATTTTTTTCAAAAACTAGAAATAAATGTCCTTTGACAAGGTTTGTCAAACTGGTGGCCAGCAAGTCCCTTAAGAGGAGGGATGATTTTATTAGAAAGTTCAGCCAGTCATCCAGTTCATTTCAAAACCGCATCTTCCAGTTGCTTCTGAGTTTTTCCCAGCAAGTTTCCATCTTTGGATCCACTCAACACAGAGGGCGTTTTAAGTGGAGGTTCGTGACACACGTTTTCTTTCTTTTTTAAAAAAACCATTTTTATTCATTTTATTATTTTTGTGTTTGTGTGTACCGTCAAATCAGATCTGACTGGAACAGGAGGAGATTGTCCTTCCTTCTCCAGCAGAGCATCTGGTGGATTTGAACTGCGTACCTCTGGGTCTGCAGTGCAACTTCTTGCCACTAGGCCACCAGAGCTCCCTGACACACATTTTCAAATGAAGAAATTAAGGACCACAGAATGGTTGGTTCCTCCAGGTGCAAACATCCGAACAGCCGCAGAGCCAGGACTGAAATGTACCTCTGACTCTCAGTCTGTTCTCCCCCTCCCCCTTAACTACATTCGTTTTATAAAAATATATGTGCTCAAAGTTTCCTTTGTAAAATCTGATTGTAACCTGGACTAATTGTGTCTGTAAGCAAAGATGGTAGCAGCCCATTGTTGTGTGGACCCTGGGGGCCAGCAGGTATAAATATGTGTTGTGTTGTCACTGTAAACTGTCTTTATCCCTCAGCAGGGCCCGCCCTGACTGGAGCTACTGTTGAGCTCATCCTCCTTGTAAAACTAGTCCACCACCAAGTTTTAGAACCAGGAGCTTTAGTTTGTTGCGGTTCTGTTTGACTGGGGCTCCTCATAGGAGCTTTTTGACCAATGACAGGAGAGCCAAGTCTCAGCTATCCAGGCCCAAGATGGGGAGTAGATTTCTGATCTTTGCACTTCAGGTGTTTACTGCATGCAGCCATTCCCTCCCCCACCTCCTCCACCCTGAGTGGCTAAAACCCTGTTTCCTTTCCCTGTTTCTCTCTGTTAGGCACTAAGATGCTTACCATGACTAGGGTCCACTGCACTTTGATGGTTTCTGCTGATGCAGACTCAGTTTGGCCTTTTATCCCCTGTCCACCCCTAGATTTTATACTTTTCTGCTCCTCATTCCTTGAGTCTAATTTTTGTATGTTTTCTGGGTTCAGGGCAGCTGACAGCTTGACACCAAACTCTTGTTTAACACTAAGCAAGGGACCTGGAAAAGAGCCAAGATTCCCTTCCCATCAAAGGGCCCAGGTTCCCAGGAGGGCTAAGTCTCAAAGTCCAGGTCACTTCTCTGAGTTGAAATGATCATTAGGCCTAAGAAGCTCTCTACTGTGAGTGTACTTGCATAAACGTATCAGTTAAAATAAAAATACCTATTCTATTGAGATTCTTTTGAGAAGACTCTTTGTCTCTTTTCTCTGTGTGCTAAGTGGTTTTGGAAGCCCAAGGCAGTCAGTCATTCAGAAGTACAGAATGCTCACTGTACAAGCAGGTGATCACAGGCATGGGTTCCCTCAGGGCCAGGATTTAGTCTGCTTGGGTGATACCATAACCAACTAGAGTGGGACTGACACACTTGGGGTTTCAAGATAAGGAAAAAGAAAGGGTTTTCCAAAGGGTTGAATAAACAGAATATACAAATCGTGTCCAGCGTTATGAACCTTAAAGTTCCTTTTCTCCAGTTCAGTGGCTGGGAATGTTACCTCTCTGTCCCTGGGTTATGCTAACTCAGTGTTTGGCTAAAGGCCCCCTACTATTCAACTATGTGATCGGGCTTGAATCACCTCACATCTTACGAGTATAAATTTGAGAGTTCATCAGTGCGATACAGTAGTTATTACTTAACTCTTCTTCCTGTCTTCAGCTCTAAATGTTCTAGAATGGCTACAGAGCTGCCACTTGTGGTGGCCACGTCTTAAGTATTTTACTTGCAGCCCTGAGAGTGACACATAGACAGACATCCCTGACCTACTCCCACCCCAAACACAGTCCTGGAAGCAAAACCACAGTGACAGCAAGGTAGCTGTGGTGGTCAAAAGCTCCTCTTTGCATTTCCCATCTCTTGTCTGTAATGCACTTAAAAGCCTTTTTAGATGGACTGAAACGCAGTCCTCATTGCCTGACTAGGCTCTTTCTCATTTTCTTCCCTGGTCCCATTCTTACTTCCTCTGGCATATTATCAGAAGGGGCCAGTCCTTGGGGGGAAAAAACCCATCATGCTGGGAAGGGTAGTCAGGAAACAGGACAAGCCTCAGGATGGATTAACACAGGGACTGTAACAATGGGCGTGGGGTGTTGGAGATCATGGCTGGCACAGGATAAGGCAGGGCTCAGAGCTGTCGTTCACAGGGTCGCTGCTAGACGTTGACTAGATGGCACAAAGGAACAACAACTAGTCCTTTTTTTTTAAATTTTATTGTTTTTGTGTGTGTACCGTCAAATCAGATCTGACTGGTACAGGAGGAGATTGTCCCTCCTTCCTCGGCAGAGCATCTGGTGGATTCGAACCGTGCGCCTCTGGGATTGTAGTTGCAGCGCCTTACCACTAGGCCACCAGAGCACCCCACAACTAGTTCTTTTATGCTGTGTACCTTTAGTCTAAGTCAGGCGATCATCACTTACTATGTGCCAGGCATTATCGTACTTGTAGGGCACGACAATGAATAAATAAGACAAAGACCCTGGTATTGTGGAACTTATATTTGGAAGTAAAGGAAGGTATGGAGAAAAAAAAATAATAAAGAATTATGGAATTTCAGGTAATAATTTTATAGAGAATCAAACCAGAGAATATCATAAACTGGGTGAGGCAGGGGGTAGGAGAAAGAAGGTCTGGTTTAGGTAGGATGGAAAGTCTAAGGAGATTAACATTGAGCTGAGACCTGAATTATAGAAAAGATTCAGCTGAGTGGAAAATGTTCCATCAGAAGGAAAGGTCAAGTGCAGAGGTCTTGCAGTAAGATGAGAACAAGATCGTGAGAAAAGTGGTGCCGTTCATGCTTGGAGAATGAGCACACAGATGGTAGAATATGATGTCCAAGAGGGTGTAGAGGACATATCACCCTGTAAGGCTCCCGGAAGGTGGTGTAAGGGTTTGGATTTTCTTGTAATCAGAATCCAGTTCCTAGCAGGGATGTGAGGTTTTTTCCAGACCCTTGACCATCTGTTGTTTCCTTTTCTTGCCTTCTCCGTAGGCTGGTCCTATAGAGATTTTCTAACAATGGATACAGATGAAAGGCTTAATATGTAGATGAGTTTGAAAAATGGGAAGAGGTGATAGATGTAGGGACCCTTTGCTTCACTAAACTGCTTTGT